CCCTAGCTGCACCACCGTCGAGAGTGGTGAGGGAGGAGGAGTTAGCAGGTCGTATCCGGCAGAAAAAGGTGCCATCCACAACCTGGTAAGCTCCTCATGCACTTCCGGGAAGAATGGACCACCCCGAAGAACCAATCGTCCAACCTTGAGGGCTCGGGACACGGTGGAGGTCTCCACTCGAGCCCTACACTCACGGCGGCCAGGGAAAGCATAGCCGTTATTTCCGGATCCGATTCAGGCATTGCTACAGTCCCGGAGGACAGCAGCGCAGCCAAATCGTTTATTTTCATCGCATTTACATTTTCTGAGCCAACAATATAACGCGAAACCTATGAAAATGGTTTTAAAAAGCACATGGCGCCATAGTTTCATCACTGTAGAGTGTCACAGTGACCGTCTTTTTGCAGTAAAGAACCTGTCATAGTTTAATGAGTGGGAAGATGACATGAAGCGACGCGAGGTTAGCTGCACTGAAAACAGATGAGCGCGCATGTGCATATTATATAGCTCCCGATCGGGGCGAAGTTCACGGGATTTTGTCCACAGAATGATAAGAGCACACGTTTTAACGTATTATTTTTTTTATTTCACACTCAGTATTTTAACTTAAGCGCTGCAAGCCATGCATACAGCGCCGGACATGACAGGCTTTCTGGTATGCAAAACAAGTACTTTAAAGGAATTCCTTAACTTATTGCCATTACTGTGGCAGCTAACAACAGCACAGCGTAACCCTGCGCACATTTGTATATTTAGTTATATTGAAAAAGTTTCAATTCAGTTGATCTTTTTTACCCTGTTTTAACATGGATCTCTATGGAGACTGGCCGTAGCTGTCGGGCAAGATGGCGGATAGCAGCGGAGGCACATAATATCTGCGTTCTGATTGGTCAGATCCCCATTCAATCAAGCTCTTTGCGAATGGTCAATTTCGGTGGAAAAGCAGCTTTAGATCACCTCTCAGAAGCAGAACAACAAAAATGTGAGAACAAAAGAGCACCTGATTAAAATCACTAAAATCATTTAAAAAATCAATAAAACACAGTAAGACATTCTAAAACACATGAAAAATGCTTAACATGGTTTAATGTAATAAGACAGTGTTATTAAAATATCCAATTCAAAATACACCTTATTGATGATACATCTTATATACAGGCAAGCAGATGAGCCCAGTATATGAACAGATGTCTTAATGCATTAGGCCATATTAGGCATTTTCTTTGTAATGGTTTTCTGTTGGAAAATGCTTAATGCGCAGTTTAGTTCATTGTGTTCATATTCTGGGTGAATCTGTTCACCTGCATATAGTTCGCATCATCAGTGAGGTATATATTGAATTTTGTCCTTCAATATTACTGTCTAACTACATTAGTACTTAGCGCAAACTTGGTAAAAATGAATGGCATTCAGTGGAGGACAGCTTTGTTTTGCCCTCCAGCTGGGCATTCCTGTAACTATGAATAAAAGAGTACTCTATTTACAGTTTTGAGGAGGCTCCGAGAATACTTTGAAAATTGCTGATCTAGGCAGTTCTAGAGAAAAGCAATGGCAGCCAACTTTCATTTGTGAGCAGGACTCGAGGAAAAAAATTTGACATTAAAGCATGCAACAATGATAACTGATAAAGGCATGGGTACATGCTATTGTATATCCGCTGATATCCGCTGGTCGGGTAATAAAAAAATACATTCTAATTAATTGTGGGTGGGTCGCGGGTGGATGAGATAAATTATTAGTGATGTAAATATTCTCTAAATTATGAACGTGTTTTAAATGCGTTTTTTTTTTTCATCAAAGTTTGAAGGGAGTAAAGCCTGTGTTTATGCTATTAAGAAAGTGTAGGCTATAATCTGGCCAAAGAAGAGCTTTTGTTTTATAATTAAATGGATTTATAATTCAACTGGATTCGCGAGACCACAAGATTTTGGGATGCTTCAGAAAAGTGCAGCAGCGCGGCTGGTATAAACGCAAGCACTGACTAGAGCGGCCGGGATCAGCTCCGCGCCACAGACGTGTGCAGCGATGCACAGTTCAGCTCTCACTCACGTCACTGAATCTGCTGTTACAAATTAACTATCCAGTGTTTCCCCTAGGTGTACGGCGTTGGTGGGGTAGATTCCGTTTTTTTTCTTTCTGGACTTAAACTTAAACTTAAACAATTTAACATCAATTTATTAAAAGTTTAACAAATATTACGTTTAGGGCCCTATGAAATGTTTTATTTGTCCAACCTTATGTTTTATTGTAACCAAATTCTGTTTTAGCATGTCTAATTTGAAAGCATAAAACAAGTTTCATTTATTCTTACAATAGCCTTGATTTTTTTGCTCAGAAATTCTGTGTTGTGTATCTAAAATAATGGCAAGGGAAACACTGCTATCCATTCATCATATCATCATGCAAAACTAAGAATTAGTCTAATTAGAATCATTGTAATGTGACGATCGGGTGCGGGTCGGGTCGGTTATCTAAATCAGAGAAAAATATAGGTGCAGGTGGGTGGCAGGTGGATAATTTATTTGAAGCGGTGGATTCGGGTGATATTTTAGCTCATCCCGTGCATCTCTAGTACATGCACATGAAGCATAGACTTTATGAGCAATAACTGATAGTATGTAAGATGCAACAGTAAAGACTTTAAAATCTAGTCATCCACCTCTTCATTAAAACTACAATCATAAAACGGTGCACAATATTCCTGAACTGTCAATTTTTCAATAGAAGCAAATATTCTTGAAACTATAATTTCGCAAGAAAGTGATGCTTGTCCATGGTTGCTATGTGATTGCAATGGTGCTCTATGTGGTTGCTAGCATGCTGCTGAGTGGTCCCAAGTGGCCCCAAAATATGATATGGGTCCCGACTTCAGTGAAACTACTTGAGTAGTTTGTTTTTTTTGTCCGCCAGATAAAAAAGTGTTGAGTTACACACCAAAGCTAAATATTAGGGTAAGCATGAACAACAGTAATAGCAGTAATAGTAATTTTCACCTTAACAAACCTATTATTATAAGTGTTCAGAATAAACATTTCCTAATAGACATGTAAAAGGATTTATTAAGATCTGAAAATACTCTATGCTAACCTTGTCTTCACAGGTGCAGCCCAGGTCATCATTAAGAGCTGTGACTGGTCCTACAGGGTTTGGCTTGCACACTTCTTCAGGCATGCTGGGTATGTATACAGGGGCCCTCAAAAGCTGGTTAAGGCTACCATGGGTACCATTATTAGGGGCAGGCTTCAAACCAAGGAGATCTGGGAAACACAGAGGCAAAAAATCTTATGTGCTGACACACTGTAAAGCAGGGTTCCTCAAATCTTGCCCTGGAGGGCAAATGCGCTGCAGAGTTTAGCTCCAACCCTGATCAAACTCACCTACCTGTGATTTTCTAATGATCCTGAAGACATTGATTAGCATGCTCAGGTGTGTTTGATTAGGGTTAGAGCTAAACTCTGCAGGAAAGTGGATCTCGTGGGCCAGATTTGAGGATCCCTGCTGTAAAGCATTAAACAATCAAGAGTTATTAGAGTTGCCAAGTATGCATTTTTATGGTATTGAACAACTTTTACATATTTGCTGTGGGTATTTTTATATCTAAATAGAAATTAATTTATTTGAATTTTAATTACATTTATATTACATAATCTGCTTTTAATCAATTCATATCATACATAATTGATTCTTGACGCCAGACAGAGGGGGTCACATACACACTTTACTCTCCTCTCCACTAATGCATTAATACATTGATTGATATTGAAAAATAATGTGCAAGCAGAAGATCCTTACGGGTAATAAAAATGCTGCTGTATGCGTTTTTGTATTTATTATTCAACCAAATTCCTTAAAGCCTGTCCTGTCTCAGCTCTAATTTCATTTATTCACAACTATACTTTACATTTTACAAAGATGTCAATTGACTGTCAAGCTCAGGTTTTTTTCTTAATGGCAGTTAACTTGGGAATTTTTTTAATGCTTTGGAAGCGTTTATATTATGAGCACCATTTACATGTCCCTGTCATGCAGACCTGGCGACCCTGAACATAATGCAAAATTATGAATAGAGATCAGTGCTTTTGTACTGAAACTCAAAATCAATGCCGTAATCAGGATTAGTGAGGATTACTACAGAATGAAAAATAGAGATTTTCTCACCACACATGACATTATAAAGCTCAATATTCTCAAAAGGTGGAATTTTTGTCTTGAATTTGAAAGATGGTCCATATCCAAGGAAAATGGTCTGAAAAGAAGATCAAAATAAGTCACTAAAGTACCAAAAAGTTTAACACAATATTTTCAGCTATATCTATGAAAATTGCAATTCAAACACAAACCTGCATGCTGTTGATCTTATTGTCATATCCGTGATCACCAGCAAACCCACATTTCCCATGATTCCTTTTTGATTCATAGAACTTCCTGTCTCAGAGAGATACAACCAAAGTAGGTAATTGAGGGTTCTTCTCCTCAAAGAAAAACATTCACGGGAGACATGGAGCAATTTTTCAACTATATAAATATAAATAATCTTTAAAACATACAAGCAAATAGTCAGTAATAAAAAAACAAAGAAAACCATTAAATCATGCTTTTCTCCCACTTCAAGAATGTCTCAAATATTTATTAGAGCAAGTCACAAGTCAATGACTTGTTAATGTTGCTAAAAACAACTTAGTATTTGTAGATGGCATGCTTAAATCTCTGCGGACCCGGATACGGGTCCAAAACCACATTAAAAATGTTTATGCTTCATTTTCAAAGCCTTGCTTATATGGTATCAGCCCATATATGGTATAATTTGAAAGCTTAAAGTCTCATCTTTACAAAGAATAATAATAACGTTTGGTTTTATGATACATAAAGTAGTAAAATTAAGCTTAGAAATGTATTCGTCCCACACACTAATTTCCGCCTAATGATTGTGAAGAATTTTTCCTAAGAATGTGTATTTTTTATATTTTTCACAAAACAATCATCATATATCACAAGAAAGCTCATTGTGTGACAATCACAGATCGAATGATCTTCAACAGAATCGCGATGTGAAATTTGATACCTCTGAGGAAACATTGAAATGCGTCACATTCCTACTCGCACTACTGCTTCAGTCAGCCGCAAACAGCCACAAACTCTATAATATATTTTAGATTAGGATCTCTTCTTTCAAACGAGACCATTTTCACGTCTCTGCGTGCTTCCATTGGTGAGAAATCTATTGTTATGTCGCAGAAGCGCACCAGAGAAAAAAAGACGCCCTTTTGACAAACACGCGCTCTCCAAATCATAGCAGCTCCGGCCAGCGGCTCTTATCTTTTACAACTCTAGGCTGCTCAGTGGGCTGCAGTAGGTCAGATTACACGCCGATCAAGTGCTGGCCCCTCAGAGCCATGCAATTTGACACCTCTGGGTCAATAGACATGAGGGAGAGAGGGAGGTTCCGGGTCAGCGCTGGAGCTGTATTGAGCGTGGGTCTTGTAGTTTACGGACTGTTTGAAGGCGATAATGGTGCTGAAAGGCAATGGCACGGATAAAAGCGATCTTTGAAAGCGAAACAAAAAACTGAAGAAATGAAGAACGGCCAGAGACCGTGGAGAGGACAGGACGTGCGGCTGATAAGCACGTCTACAAGTATTTATAGTGCTTATATTCAGGTTTGTGATATAATTAGTTTGAAACGTGAAAGCACCGCAAACAATCGGATAAACTATGTATTGACAGTAAAGTACAGTACAGGAGGTGTTTCAGTAAATATATATGGATATTATTACAGTGCTGTGTTTATAAACAGCTATATCTTTGTTTCACATTCTGAAGATCAGACAGCAGCAGCTAGCGGCACAGCTCGCGTCTCATCTCCAGGAGGCAGGCAGGTGATGCAGGCAGTATGCTAATGCAGAGGTGATGCAGGGGACAGGGGAAAAAATTATGCACATAAATGGAATGATATAAAGCTGGAGGATGTGGATTCTGTTTTAGATTGTAATAAACCACATGGATTTTACAATTTATAGTCTTGTGTCTCCTGAAAGAAAAAAACTGATTGTATAGAACACAAAATGTGATATTTAGTCTAATTCGCTTATGCCATTTTGTATATTGCTACTTAGACAAACATAAAAATGAAACATAATTAAGTCAATAATCAAGAAAAGTGCTATGGCACATAGTAAAATAAGATAGTAAAATAGGATTCTGTGGGTAATGTGCTTCATAAAACCTGTTTTTGCAAAGGAAACTGTAGCATCTGCTTAGGATCACTGATGATCGTTTACGCTTTATGTCTTAGAGACCCTTTTAGCCTTTTGTCATTTGCATATAAATTACAGACATGGCCCCACATTCTACATTTATATGGGTGCTATATTGCCAATGGTTCCCCCCACTATCAAGGAGATGCTAAACAGTTCACCGCTCTCGACTCCCCATCTGACTTCAAACACATTCCAATGTCCTGGGAGACAGTCATCCTCAGTACCTGGCACCAAATGTTTGTTGGCCAGCGAACTACCCCCATGCTCACAATACACATAACACACACATAAAGACGTTTTCTTTGTTTAGACTACAATTAATCAGTTATAAATGTATCTGGTATATGCATGTGTTGTTTGTATGTTTCCCTATTATATTAGCCTAGTTACCACTCGCTATTTGTATTAGTTAAGCTTTAAATGCTTATATTCAGGTGTATGAATGTACCTCTGGTTTAATATCTTCTAGATGTTTCTTTCTTGGTATCAAAATGATCTGCTCTTTATTCCTCAAACAATGATGTACACTATGTGATCGTGAAATGCATCATACTATTTGTACTATATTTGGGTAAAACTGCACCAGTCCTGCAGACCAGCCATAAACATGCAAATGGGCCATAAATGGAGACAAAGAAAACTTCTCCCGCTCAAAAATTCATGCCTGGGATTGGCCATTCCACCCAAAAGGTGGGCGTGACTAGGAACTATTAAAAGTCATTAATTCAGACTAATCTTTGCTCAAAACCCTTCTTCTTGAGACAGACTCTCCAAGACTCCTCAAAATTCTCCTCTTGAGTTTGATTTTCCGGCGGTTTTTTATCTTCAAGTAACTTTGCCGATTACCTGTGGACTTTCCTATCTTCAGAAGAACCAGAGGAAAACCTCCAGCTCACTCCTAAAGAACTCATCAAGAACTTCCGTGCCTACCACATTAGGACTCTTGTTCAGCAACAAAGCCAATGCAAGTAATTTACAATTTACATTGTAAATTACTTGCCATTCAAGTAATTTACAATTACAAATTACAATTTACAATTATTTAGAAGCGTGTTTAAGTTTGAGCCCCCTTTTTAAGGTGATGTTTGATTCTCTGATGATTCTCATTAGGTTGTGGTTAATTGATGTGAAATACTGCCATTCTTTTGCTCTTCTCTCTCTCTTCCTTACTTTCCTTCATTCTGTATATATGTGTTTTGCTTAATTTAGTTGTATGTTAGCTATAGTTTCATTTATTAAATCCCTTATATTCACAACTGATTGTCTCTGTGTGCTGCTCACAATTCTGAGTCACTGAATGTTGATCCTTGTTACATGCTAAATTACTGCTAGTACTGCATAAAGTAGGAAAGCTATTCTTCCTTGGCCAGGAAAATAATGTTTCCTAGAATTAATAAATGATTATATTGTCTGCTCGGTGGACGGACAGATCAAATAATTGTAATATTGATTCTGCTACAGTTAATTCTAAGATCTAATCTAAATAGTTATTATTAATTATAACCAGTAATAATTAATTATAAATATTTCCCTTTTTGAGCTAATTTGCTACATATAATAGTGGAGAACAATGCGGGCATGATAAAACAAAGGTTATGAGTTTAAAACACTGTCATCCTAAAAGTGGGTGTTTGATAATCCAGGTAAGAATAGGGCATGACTTGCGATACGCATTTGTGTCCCTATTTGCTGGCTTGTTTATATGCTGTGATGGCCTGCATACCTGCCTGCTGTGTGGTTTTGTTTGTTTTTGTGTTTCAGTGGGGCGGGGCTGCAGTCCGAATGCAGATGGATGATACCTGGGCCCGGAGTCTTCCCTCATTATAAAAGCTTTTCCCACTTTTCCCTGTTGTTGTGTGTGTGTGTGGGGAGTTTGTCTCTCCCACGCACCACCTTCTTATGTTGCGTCCGTGAATGCGATGTTTGACCAGGGTGTGTGAAAATCTAGGTAAGTACTGTAAGTATTCTAAATTAAACTCATTTTTTTAATAAGGTGCTTCTCTGTTAGGTTTAGTGGCGTTACTCCTTTGGGTTTCACCTGGTTTGTTTGTGTAGTGTTGCGGTGAAAGTGCACAGAGCAGTTGTCTCGGGGGCACTTCCGTGGGTTTAGGAGTCGCCAGTTTCTGGTTGCTTTTCCTATCCGTCGGGTTTTGTGCATAATGGAACCATCATCAGTAGCCGCATGAAGACCAGGGTTGAGTTTTATTTAGGTAGTTTTGCGGTTGAGGTAGTTAGTTAGAGAGGCACACCTTATTTTTGTGCTATAGATTGAGTGCTATTAATTGTGGTTGATATTTCTCGCACATGGTTAAAATGTCTACGGTAGAGGAATTTATAGCGTCTCTGTCAGAAGCATTATTAGATCTCTGCACAAAAGAGCAGCTTCTTAAAATAGCTGAACATTATGGTATTGATGTCAGCAGTAATATGCTTAAAGAACGACAAAGTTTGAGGAGTAATTTAATTGAAAGAGATTTTATCAGAAAAATCGTCTGTTTCATTACCTTTGCTTTCCATGTCGACTTCAAATTTAACATTTGAACAGCAAAGAGAGTTACTTGCGATGCAAATTGAGCACGAAAGGTTTAAATTGAAGGCCGAATTGGATAGAGATTTAGCAGTGGAGAAAATATGTCAGGAGATTATGCAGGCGAGGTTTGATTTTGAACATAGACTTGAAACGGATAGAGAAGGTGCCGCAGCTGGAGTAGGTATGTAGGCTATTCACAGTCAACTTTTTTGGGAAGCGGTAATTCTGGTTTTGATGTTGTAGGAAATTTGCGACTGGTGCCGAAATTTTATGAAAAAGATCCAGATTCTTCTTTTGTACTTTTTGAACGCATTGCCGATGCATGTAATTGGCCGGACGCGGCCCGTGCGTTGATGCTTCAGACTGTATTAATAGGTAAAGCACAGGAAGCGTATTCGTCTTTAACTGTGGAGGATAGTCGGGATTATGCAAAAGTGAAGGCAGTAGTGTTAAAAGCCTACGAACGTGTCCCAGGATTTTATAGGCAGCAATTTAGAACATGGAAGAAAAGCGAAAAACAGAGTCATCTTGAGTTTGCGCGTGACTTACAAATGCATTTTTCATGCTGGTGTTCTGCTGCTGAGGTCAGTGATTTCGAAGCGATGTGCAACTTAATTGTTTTGGAACAATTTAAAAAT